CCTCTGCCGCCTGGGGATTCAGGGGGGCAGGACACCTCTGTGATGATGCTCAGTGCAGGGCCTGCACACAGCAGGTGCTCATGAATACCTGTTGCATGAGTGGATGAATGGCTCTGCCGGTTGAGAGAAGGCACTGCAGTCTTTCTGAGCCTGGGTCTCTCACCACATAAAATGGGGAACATAGTGGTCCTGTCCTTGGACACTTTCACCCTTAGCTTGGTGTCTGGTATACAGTAGGTGCCAAATAAAAGCAGCCGAGATTCTGGTTGTTGCTAAGCTAGTAATTGGATTCAACACCCGCGGGCATTTCCCAATTCTGTACACTTGCTCAGCATCAGCCCGGCCCTGGGCCAGATGGTGGGGACAGTAGTGACCAGGCAACCCTCAGCCCCTGACCCCAGAGGGTTTGTTCTCGGGTTTTCCTCCCTGCCCAGCCCCATCCCAGATCTCCCTGACTTTGGCTGGATGCAGGTGGGTACAGGATCAGGGGTAACTTCAGCAGAGAAGGAGAGTTCCCTCATTGACTGGGAGGCCAGGGTGCAGTGAACATAACAGAGCCAGCCCACGCCTGGAGGGGCTGTGGCCTCGGGACAGGGGGACGGACAGGACCCACCTCGGCTTTGGCTGGAGTGGGCCTTCTGGAGGAGGAGGTGGCATGTGACTTGGGACTGAGCAGGGGAAGGGACCACACGGGATTCAGAGAGGGCATGCAGGGTGCAGAATGGGCACTTTGGGGGGTGATGTCCCAGCAATGGGGCCAGGACACCCGCTCGGGAGCCTGGCAGTGGGGCTGAGGCGTCACAGCTGCAGGGGCCTGGGAGCAAGTCCCAGCCTGGCTCCTTCCCGGCTCTGGGACTTTGCACGGTGGCTTCTGTGCTCCGTGCCTTCACCTCCTGCTCCGGAGAATGGGCACAACAGTAACTCCCGTTTTGTAGAGTTCAAAGCTTAATAGATGCTCAGCCTCTGAGAGGCGCTCCCTGGACCCCTGCTCATCCTCCTTGGACGCCACGGCACAGGGAGGGAAGATCGGGGTTCAGACACGTGGACCCTTGGTCAGGGAATTTCTGCTGTCTGGACTCAGTTTACCCAAAGGCCTCCCCGAGACCTGCAAGGCCCTGCATGCCAGCCCCCAATCCTCCCTCCCCTCACCCGCTCTTCTCTCCCTCCCACTCACTCTGCTCCAGCCACACAGCCCCAGGCTGTCTTCCCTGCCAAAGCATTAGGGGTGGTCCCACCCCAGGGCCATTGTAACGACTGTCCCCCCCAAGCTCCTACCCTGGACTGTCACCTATCAGCTCTTCAGTCAAGTGTCCTCTCTTATGAGAGACCCTCCCAGATCACCCCCAGCCAAAACACAGCCTCTAAGGGATCCCCGACTCCGTCAGACACCTTTACATTTCTTCAGAGCATTTGGTCCAACCTGATGTTATATTACAGACTTGTGCGCGTGTTTCTCCATCCCTTCCCCAGATCCAGATCTGGGGGACGGCCCAGCCCAGGTTACTGTTGGGTCCCCAGCACCATGCATGGATCTGGCACACAGCAGACATTCAGTAATGTCTGTTGAACAACTGAATGAATCTTTCCCTCATTAGATAAGCACTGTTCGGTAGGCTAGGATGCTCTAAGCTTGGGGGAAGGAGTTAACTCTAGGTTAGGAATGCTTATGTGGGTACCAGATGGGCCTGTGTTTGAATATGAGCTCTGCTGTTTGCCACTTAACCTGGAGGAACTGACATTGGAACTGGGGCTTTGAAGGATGCATAGGAGTTTGGGATAAGCACTTAGGAAGTGGATAAGATAGATTCTCCAATAACATTTGTTGAATCACTGAATGAGGAAGAGAGAATCCTTCCTGAAAAACCTTTGGTTTGGGAATTGGGGTTTCGTGTCCAGGTTGGGGGCCCTGTGGTGTCAGAGTGAGAGGGCAGAGAGGAGCACAGGGTCCAGCAGAGGCTTGGCCTCAAGTGTCTACTTCCCAGCTGCTTCCCTCTTTGGCCAACAAGTCCCAGTGGGCCAAGTGGGGGTTTCTGGGAAAGGTTTAGCCTTGCTCCCTCCCCCAACCTTACATCTCTGCTGACCAGGGCAGTGGACAAGCCCCCCAGGCCCCCGACAGGCTGCAATGTCCCTTTCTGCACATTATAAAGAATGAAGCTGAGGCCACAGGGGAAAATGGAGACCTTTGTCACCCAGGCTCATTCCTTCACAGAGTCACCTGGCCATGAATGCCTCAACCCCAGGCCTCAGGGTTGTCTGGGAGCTGGACTCAGAGACCCCCAGCTTGTGTGGTCCAGGAAAGGCTGCCTGGAGGAAGGGACATGAGACAGGGCTTTGAGGGATGTGTAGGAGTTTGGGGGGGTTCTCAGCGTCTGGATCGTCTGGCTCCACTGCCTGATCAGCCATTGAGGACATTGGGAGGGGCCTGGGGAGGAGGCTTTGGTTGTCACAGGTCTCGTGGGACAAAGAGAATGCCAGGCCTGCCTCTCACCTGGCCTGGCCCCTGGGGGAGGACGGGGCAGCAGGTCCATGACCCAGTTACAGACTGTTTGTCTTCCTTCCTCCAGGCCCAGCTGGGGTCACCGGTGACGTGGGCACCCGCCCCTTTCCACCTACCTGGCACCTTTTCCCAGAGAAGGAGGGTGGTTTCAGGGAGGGGGGAGGGGCTCAGAGTGGGGGAGGGGGTCCAGACAGGGGAGGGGCTAGGAGAGAGAGAAAGGTTCAAGGAAAGGAGCACGGGGACCGTGGCCCCCCTGGCCCACACCCAGCTGCCCCTCCCCAGCCTCCTCTTATCGCCACCCCGGTGTGCAGCAGGCCTTGGGTGGGAGCCACGGTGTCCACACCGCTGCTCTGGCTTCCTGCCGCCCTGGTGTCCCCTCCACGGGGGCAGCGACCTGAGCCTCTATCAGTTCCCCTCCCCTGCCTTCTGTGGCCAGGTGGCCTGGGCTCTGGGCCTGACTGCGGACAGCTGTGTGGCCCAGGGCGACTGGCTCCCCATCTCTGGGGTTGGCAGGTTGGGTGGCACTCAGCACAGGAAAGCCACCGTGAAGCTTGGCAAGGGACCAGCCTGGGACAGGCCCCCCCAATCCTCCCTGTGCGTCAGCACATCAACTAGGGCGGGTGGGAGGGCAGCGGAAAAGGACCCCGAGGTCCAGTCCCTGCCACAGCTGTTCCAGTGACTCACACTTGGGGACACCTTGGAATGGGGAGCTGGGCTGGCACAAGCCAAGCCCCAGCACGCCCCACCCTGGTGAGGGTGGGAGGCTATTTTCAGAGCCTCAGTAATAGGTGAGATCTGAGGTCGCCCCCCTCCCCCAGCACCCCACGGCCAGTGGAGCCAAGCAGGGAAGGCACCCTGAGTGGGGGGCCCTGGGCATCCAGGCCTGGAGGTGGGACCAGGCCGGCCGCATCCAGCCAGAGGACAGACAGCCCGGAGCAGCTGTTGGCTGCTCCCGCCCGGAGAGCACGCTGTACTCACAAAGGGCCCGACGGCCTCTTGGCACCCCAGGTCCTGCGTTCTCATCCTCACCCAGGCCCCGAGACCCCGCGGGACCCAGGCCAGGTCTCCTCCCCTCCCAGGGCACAGCCTTAGTTTTCCCATCAGGCAGGTAAGCCACCAAAATAACAGCAGTGTCAATAATAACAATAGCCTGAAACAGCCTTTTGAGAGCTGGGAGAATAATGGGGTTCGTGTGCCGGGGAGCACCACCACCCCTATTCTGGAAATGCAGTGTGGCCCAGGCCAGAGTGGAGGGGGGAGCCTGGATTTTTCTCCTCTTCCTTTCTCTCTCCTGGGCCCACTCTCTCCCTGAGGCTGGGAGACCGGGTCCCAGGTGGTCTGCAGGTTCGGTCCCCCTTGCTGACAGATGGGGAGAGTAAGGCTACCCTTGCACCCCCGTGGCAGGGCCAGGAGCCTCCCATGGCCCCACATTGCTCTCAGAGGGACCCACCTGGATCTGCTCTGGTTCTCGGGGTGAAGCCCAATGGGAGTGGGCTCCACGCGCCTCATGATCAGGTCCTCTTGGGGCCTCAGTCTCATCGTCTGTAAAACAGGGGCTGTGGGTAAGGCACGATGGGGTGGGCGTTGAAGTCACATCTAAGGCCAGGTCTCCAAGGGTCCCCAGGCTGCTGTTCTTCCATCTGTGGATGGGGTCTGTGGGGGGACAGAGTAGAGTAAACTGGCCTCCTCGGGTCCCTCTCTCCACGAGAGACCCTCCATAGCTGAGCTCCCCTTTCGCAAGTACACTCTGGCCTCCTGCCTCGGGCCTCGGCTTCACCGGCCCCTGTAGCAACTTTCTCTGCCGATGGTGGGCCTGAGAATCTAGCCCCAAGGGACATTCTCTGAGCCTGCTTTCTCCTGTGATCGTGGAACACCCACTGGGTGCTGGGCTCTGCTCTCAACATTGCTGCTAACAACCTAGTTCAAGCTTTTGCAAACTACAGCCCCAGGGCTCCATGGCCGCCTTTTGTTTGTGTAAATAAAGTTTTATTGAAACCCAGCCATGCCATTATTTACATCTCATCTGTGGCCAAGGGACAGAATGGAGTGGTTGCAACAGACTGAAACGTTCAGCCTCTGAAATGCTTGCTGATGCCAGTCTGGTCCGCAAAGCATGTCAGAGAACAGGTGGCCCGTGACAGCTGAGGCTCCTGGGCTCACCTTTCTGCACCCTCCGCCTGGGGCCCTGGGCCCACCCCGTCTGCCTGCTGGGTTCAGGACGGTCCTCTGTGCCTTGGCCTGCACCTCCTGGTTTCCCCAAGGCTTAGGTCCCCATCTGGGCAGTGGGCTCTCGCCAGTCCCCCATGAGCCTCTGCCGGGTCTCCTGTGACCCTCGGTTTGACCCAAGAGGTGAAAGGTCTGCAGAGGCCCTGCCCACCTCGCCTGGCTCTACCCACCTCGTGGGTTTGCCGAGGGGCGCCCAGGCCTCAGCCCTCTGGGCCCAGCAGTGGGTCCCTGGTCCCCGGTGCCCCCTGACCTCTGGCCTCTCCCCCTCACCCCGCAGGATGAGTTCCACCCGTTCATCGAGGCGCTGCTGCCTCACGTCCGCGCCTTCGCCTACACCTGGTTCAACCTGCAGGCGCGGAAGCGCAAGTACTTCAAGAAGCACGAGAAGCGGATGTCGAAGGACGAGGAGCGGGCGGTGAAGGATGAGCTTCTGGGCGAGAAGGCCGAGGTCAAGCAGAAGTGGGCATCGCGGCTGCTGGCCAAGCTGCGCAAAGACATCCGGCCCGAGTGCCGGGAGGACTTCGTGCTGGCCATCACCGGCAAGAAGGCGCCTGGCTGCGTGCTCTCCAACCCCGACCAGAAGGGCAAGATGCGCCGCATCGACTGCCTGCGCCAGGCCGACAAGGTGTGGCGGCTGGACCTGGTCATGGTCATCCTCTTCAAGGGCATCCCGCTGGAGAGCACGGACGGCGAGCGGCTGGTCAAGGCCGCGCAGTGCGGCCACCCGGTGCTCTGCGTGCAGCCGCACCACATCGGCGTGGCGGTCAAGGAGCTCGACCTGTACCTGGCCTACTTCGTGCGTGAGCGAGGTGAGCCGGAGCCGGGGCACGGCGGTGTCGCGGGAGGGCGCGTGCCAGGCGAGGGCCCTAGGAGACGGGGTGCTTGGAGGAGGGCCTGAGGGGGGCAGCAGGCTCTGACCTCAATGTCTGAGGGGGGCAGCAGGCCCTGGAGGCGTCGTGTGAAGGATGAGACCCTGTCCCAGAAAGTCTGAGGGGCAAGAAACAGCCATGCCAGGAACACATGGGTGAGGACAGCAGCGTGACTGATGTGCGGGGAAAGCTGGGAGGGTGCTGGGGTCGCACACTGTGAACACCAGTTCACTGACTCTCAGACCTCCCGCAAGGCCCAACAAGCCCCACACTTGTGCCCAGTGGGAAGCTGGGGTGCTGTGTGACTTTGGCTGGGCCGTCACCCTCTCTGGTCCTCAGGGTCCCCTGCTTTGGCCCTTTCAGCAAGTGCTTCCTGCTGAGACCAGCAGGGTTTGTGAGGGTTGGGGAATAGTGACCCATGGCTGCTTCCTGGAGGAGGAGGCGAGGCTGAGCCGAGCTCTTGCGGGATGGCTGGGCAGTGCTGAGCGTGGGGGTTCCAGGGCATCAGCAGCCCGGGCAGAGATGCGGAGGCCGGCTGCGTGGTTCAGCCTCTGGCATCTGCGGCCCTGCCCACTCCTGCGTCTGTGTCTGGCCTCAGGTTCCCCCGCCTATCAAATGGAGGTCAGCAGAGCCCCTAACTTGCCTGGGCCACGGGGAATTGGCCGAGGCCGAGCGTGTAGCATGTACGTGTTAAAGGCCAGCCTGCCGCGTGGCGGGTGTCAGCTGTGACTCTTCACCCAGTGGGAACCCGGCACACGCCCCACACCCCACTATGCCCAGGCTGAGTCGTGGGGTGGCCTGAGGGCGTCAGATGGGCGCAAACCCAGCCCTGGTCCCTGAAGACCCGGCCCTTTGCTGACCGTGGGACGTGGCGCCTGCTGCCGGTTCTGTGCCTCTGCTTCCCTTCCTCTTTACAACCAGAGTCAGCAGCCCTGTGGACGCCTCCGACGGTCTAAGGATTAGATGGGGTCCTGCGGCTCCATGTCTCCAGGGCGTGTGGGAGGGAGAGTGGACTAGCCGTGACCTTGATTCCTTGACCTTCACCCCACTGCCCCTCCCCCACCAATTAGCAGCTGGCAGCCTTCCCAGGCACGGAGGCAGAGGGGTGGACAGGGTGACCCCTGGGCAGGGGGCCGCGGCAGCCTTGGGGGCTGCAGCGCTCGGAGCGCGCAGGCCCAGCCCTGCCCCCACCTCCTCCGAGCTGAGCTGATAAAATTTTGAAGCGAGTTTTCTGCCTGCGTCAGCGCGATCTGCTGGCGCCTCCCCTCCCCAAGCTCGCCCCCTCCCCCGCCCCACCCCCCTCGGCTCAGCAGGCAGGCCAGGCCTCCGGGCCTCCCCAGACACCTCCGTGTCCGGCTGCCGCGCCTTTGCCGGCCAGTCTGGTCAGCCTCCTCGCCTGAGGGCGGAGGAAGGTCAAGGCCGCACCCTCTCCTGCTTCCAGTCGCTCCATCTTCCCAGGGGAGTCCCTGCTCAAAGCGGCCCCAGCTGACCCGGCCTCCCCTGGCCTGGGGGTGAGGGTCAGGCGTGCAGGCTGGGCCTGGATCCCAAGCCCCCTCAGCCGCCTGCTGGCTGGGTGATACAAGACACGTCGTCGACCCCTCCACATCCTTCCCTTGTCTCTAAAGCGGGATACCTGGTGGGAATGCTGGGTACTCAGCAAACAGTCCTTACGGGGGTCGGGTCGTGAAGACAAGCGCCAGGCACAGGGGGAGGTATCCGGGGAACCATTATTGTTTGTAACCGGATCCTCCTCATTATGGTTAAGATTTCCCATGTCCGTGCCTTGCCCTGCCATTCTCTCTGTCTGGAATGGTGGTCCCTTATGGAAAACTCCTGCTTACATTTCAAAACCCCAAATCCTAGCTCCCCTTTCTCTCTGCTAGGCATTTTTTCTGAGGGCTTAGCAAGGCTTTTCCATTCTCACAGCAGCCCCATGAGGCAGGAATCCTTGTACCCATTTTACAGATAAGGAGACAAAGGCCCAGAAGGGTCACACAGCCACGAGGGGGCAAAAGTGGGGTGTGGATGAAGGTTCTGCTGCTGACACCTCCCAGCCCTGCACCCCGGATAGTGGGAGAGAACGGGGGCAGATAGTGGTGTGCAACGTGGGCATCCCATTCGTGTGGCTTGGCCACCTCCAAGCTGGGCTGTGTTCTAGGTTCCCGCCAGCCAGCCAAGCCTCACCCAGGGCCCCAGGCAGAGACTGCCCTCGGGACCCCATCCCCATTTCGGGCCGGAGTTAAGTCTCTGTTCTCCACCAGGCGGGCGTCAGTCTGAGAGCAGAGAGCGGCCACCCCCTGCTCCTCCCACTTTGCGGGTCCCAGGGCTCAGGGGGTCCTGACCTAGGCCAGAGCCCAGTGCCACTTGGATAAGGTCTGCTGGGAGGCTGCGGGCTTAAGGCAGAGGGTGGGGACGGGCCTTGCCTGGCCTCCGGGGGGTGTGCACGGTGGGTGCTGGGACACCCCACATCCTGAAATGGAAAATAGGGCAGTCAAGGCATCAAAGATGGGGTCTGGGAAAAAACAGGAGGAGGGCAAGAGGGGCAAACAGAAGCACGGACACAAACACGGGGAGACACAGACTCACAGAGACACCACATACACCTGCCTCTCGGCCCTTCCCTGTCCTTGGACAAGGCCCAGCTCCCCCCGCCCCAGCCTTCCCATCTCTCCCAGGGGGTGCCAGGTGGATTGATGGGGCCACACCCAGAAGGGGAATCCCAGGCTTCCATCTTCTGGTTTATTTTGGGGGACAGAGGACGGAGGTCAAGCCGTGAAAGGTCCCTTCAGCACAGGGGCTGCCAGGCCAGACAGAGCCCAGTTTTGAAACCCCTACTGAGGCCGAGTTGGCCACCCCAGGCATCCATCTGCAGCTATGGTGGCCATCAGGGCCCTGTTCCAGGGGCTGGACTCAGTGTGTGGCCTGGAGGACAGCTGGGGGACCGTGACAATGAGGAAATGTGAGCTCCTCTTGGAGCTGCTTGCTAAATGGGCATGCTGTGGGGGGATGCGGAAGCTAACCGTGCAGGCAGGGAGGGCCTCTCTGAGGAGGTGACTTTTGAGATGAGGCTGGAAGGCAGTGACGAAGTCACAGGGGGCACAGCCAGTGCAAAGGCCCCTTGGCAGGAATGGCCCAGAGCAGGAGGCTGCCGGGAGGGTGGGACGGGGAGGCCAGGGCTGGGGAGCCAGGTGCCCTGCATTTGGGAAGGAGCCTGGACGAACCAGGGCCCAGAGAGGGAAGCCGCCTGCCCAACCCTGCAGCCCAGCCAGGCCTCCCCGCCCCCCTCTGGCAGCCCGAGAAACCTGAGGCGTGGGTGGGAGCCATGCCAGGCGGGTGGGGGAGGGACTGCCAGGCCCGCCCGCTCCAGCAGCTGCCAGCCCGCCAGGGCTGCCAGCCCAGATGGTGCCCATCTGCTGACGCGGCCGTGGGCCGGCCTCTGGTTCCCGCCTTGCTCAGTGCCAGCCTCCCGGAATGGCGCTGCGGGCAGGGGCCGGCTTGGGAAGCACGTAGCTGCCGGAGGGGCTTGTCAGGATGCCTGGGGCTAGGGGGTGGCCAGCCCCTCCTGGATGGAATTTGGAAGCAATAATGAGGACAGACATAATAGTAACTGGTGGACTGAGCCGCCACCCTGGAGGGAGAGCCTGTTACCTACTCCCATGTTTCTGGAAAGGAAACAGGCCCAGAGACCATCAGCAGCTTGCCCAATCTCACACAGCTCTTGAGGCAGCACGGAATTAGAGCCCCCCCACCTCAATATCCTGAGGTTTTGAAACCCCTAAAAGGAAAAAACGTAAAAGCATTTTTGAGCTGGTCAGGTGGAACCGCAGCCCTCCCTGTTGTGCAGATGGTAAAAAGAGTCGACCCAGGTCCCCAGTGGATAAACCCACAGGAACAGTGTGTTCCCCACGGAAGCCCCTGCTGTGAGCAACCCCTGGGCCAGGGTCCCCGTGAAGTGCGCATTAGGCTTGGATGGCAGGAAGGGGCCTGGTCTGGAGCACGGGGACCTGCGTGTGCTCCGCCCCAGGCTTGCTGTGTGTTTAGGGCAAAGCCCTGCTTTCTCTGGTCCAGGGTTTCTGGGAAGCTACAGGCAGGAAGGAAGGCCTTGTGGGACACAGAGAGGACCAAGCCAGGGCTGTTGGAGAGCTCCCCGCCTCCTCTGCACCCCCATCAGTCTTCATCCACCCTGGTGGACAGGAGGGCATGTGAGGGCACCCATGTATGTGTCCACGCTTGCTCCAGGCTGTGAGGTGCATTCCTGTCTCCGAACCTCAGTGTCCCCATCTGTAAATGTAAAGGATAAAAACTGTGCCCCCCTTTGAGGACTGGGGTCAGTGATCCTCAGAACGCACACAAAGGCTCTTGTTAAATGTTCAGTCCCTTCCCAGTTCTCTCTACAGCTCTAGGAGGTGGGGTGCGGAGGGGACCTCCGTTCTGCTCAGAGACTCTGTGCCCCCTCTTTACCACCCAGTGAGCCGACAGGGGACCCCTGTGGCCCGGAGCAGGCTCCCCCCTGGAAGCCGGGCCATGTTGTCCTCGCCCGGTGTCTGGGAGGCAGATGGGTGAGGGGCTTCTGCCCACTGGCATTCCCCCAGGGCTGGGCAGCCAGGTGTCACGCCGTCTGTCTTTGAGGGGAAGGTGGCCGCATCGGTAGGAGGCCCAGACGCCAGCTGATGGTGTATTTATAGTGACAGCAGGAGGTCCCTGCTCTTGGTTAGTGGGGACAAGGGCAGCAGGTGAAGGCACTGCTCACCCCGTGGGCTGGGCGTTGGGAAGAGCTGGGTGCGGCCTGTAACCTTGGGACGGCCGGAGTTCACATCCAGTAGCTCATGAGCCGCATGACCTGCGGCAAGTGACATCCATTCTCCAGGGGTCAGTGTCCCTCCCTGTCAAATGGGTGTAGTAATGGTGCCCACCTCCCAGGGCCGGGTAGGGAGGAACTG